TCTGGATTCGCTTTACAGAGAGAGCTTTGATGTCTTCATCGGTGTAGACGCCAAAGTCAATCCCCGCAATGGTGGAAGCCACCGGTCGTGCGAAGGTCGCCATGATGTCCCCGTGCAGCTCTTGGAGCAACGGGTGGTGCGATGCCTTCGTCCTTGAATGGCTGCTGGCCTGGGGAGATCGATCGAAAAAGCGGGTTCGTCGGCCGCGACGATGCGAAAAAGTTGCACCCAACTTTTTTTCTGCCCTGCGGCACCGCCCGGCGGAAGGCCCACCCCGTGATTCCTCCGTCCGTCTGTCTGTCTGTCTGTCAGTCTGTCTGTCAGTCTGTCTTGCAGGTCCGCCCGCTCCAAAGAGCTTCGCTTCTCTCTGTCTACTTAATTCGTGCCTGCTCTCTCCCTCTCAGCTCCCCCCATCGCTTCTCGCCGGCTGTATTCAGGGTGACACCTCATTCCACCCTATCATGGCTGACGCGTCAGGAAATGCGCTGAAGCGCCCTCACCCCGAAGATGATCAAGATAACATCCAAAAAAGACCTCGTTCCAATCATGGCTCTCCCGCGCCCGCCAAAGCAGCGCCTGCCGCGGGCAAGCTTGACATTGAGAAGATGGTCGCAGAGGCCAGGGCGAAAGCAGAGGCAGTACGTGCTCGACTGCAAGCCGCGAAGGGCATCGTCCCGTCTCCTTCGCCAGCCGCCTCCAGTCCTAGTCCGACACCCCCAGCGGCCAGCCCTGCGATGTCCAGGCTAGAACAGATGAAGGCCCGAGTCGCTGCTGCGACCGGACGAGCCAACGCGACAGCCCAGCAACGAATTGTCCCTACGCCAGCTCCCCAAGCTCCTACTCCACCTCCTCCGCCGCCGCCGCCTCCTTTCGAAGACGAAGATGATGGCTCGTCACGGGCTCGCGGTGGTCTCGATGTCGGTCTTCACCCCGCCCTGCTATCAGATACCCTTGAGTTCAGAGGTGGTAAAGGACGGCAATCCATGCAGTCGAAAAGCCGCAGGACCGAGTCTCCGGCTACGGCAGGCCGGCCTGATCGAGCCGGCCTTGATCTCTCGGGCCCGTCTCTGGAGGAGATCAAGAACAACCCATACTTCGATCCGAGCCTCGGTCCCAAGGCCACAATCGCAAAGCCCCGACAATCCCGGCAGCTCATCTTCAACCAGAAGGGCAAGTACATCCAGCAGGCGGCCGCGCTACGGCGACAGGCTCAGCTGGAGGCCATGAAGAAGCGGATCGCGGAAAGAGCGCGACAGGCCGGTATCGACGAAGACTTGGACGTTGAGAAGGGCTTCCTGGTACCAGCGCCTCCAGCGATCGAATGGTGGGATGAAGGTTTAGTCGATGGCGAGGACTACTCGGCTATCGAGGACGAGCAGAAGCTCAAGATCGACACCCCCGATACGATTATCACGCAATACGTCCAACATCCCGTCCTTCTCGACCCTCCCCAGGAGAAATTCCTACCACAACAAAAACCCATGTACCTCACACCGAAGGAGCAGGCCAAGATCCGTCGCCAGCGACGAATGGCAGATCTCAAGGAGCAACAGGCGAAGATCAGACTGGGTCTGGAGCCGGCGCCGCCTCCCAAGGTCAAGAAATCGAACCTGATGCGGGTATTGGGTGAGCAGGCGGTTAAAGACCCCACCGCCGTGGAAGCACGCGTCAACCGGGAGATTGCGGAGCGCAAGGACAAGCACGAGGCTGCCAACGCTGAGCGCAAATTGACCAAGGACGAGCGGCGCGAGAAGCTCGCGCGGCAGCAAGAGGCTGATGCGGAGCGTGGTGTGCTGATGACGGTATATCGTATCGACACGCTCGCCAACGGACGACACCGATTCAAGATCAGCAAGAATGCCGAACAGAATGCCCTCACGGGGGTCTGCGTCATGCATCCTCGATTCAATCTGGTTATTGTCGAGGGCGGTGCTCATTCGATCAACAACTACAGAAAATTGATGATGAACCGCATCGACTGGACGGAGAATGCGGGCCCCGGGGCGGTGCGAGAGGGCAATCGCGAAGCTCAGGCAGCGTGGTTAGCTGCCGAGGACGAGCAGACCGGCGAGCTGAAAGATCTAAGCCATAATACTTGCGAGCTGCTGTGGGAGGGTCAGGTCAAAGCCCGAGCATTCCGGAAGTGGCTGGGGGCGCGCGTTTGCGAGACTGATTCCCAAGCAAAGGATGTCTTGGCTCGAGCGAAGCTGGAGAGCTTTTGGGCGTTAGCAAAGAGTGCCAAGCAGAGCGAGGCATAAAGTATTGCTGTGGTTTTAGAGAGAAGCACTATGCCCATGATCATTACGGGATCGGGGGTGCTTTACCATAAGATGCTACGCCAGTGACGTGTATAATTAGAACTCATAACCTACTCATGATATTCGGACTGCGCCAGTCTGCACACTGTACATATTCAGAGACGCTACATGTTGAAACGGTAAACGGGACGTAAAAACTTTTGATTACCCATGCCATGAAAAAGAATGCCCAGAAATCCTTAAAGTGCAGCTAAAACCAACACCGTAGATTTATTTTGATGAACAAGTTGCCAAAAAGCGAACGGAATTATGAGACACAATCATTGACGAGGAGGGCCTTGTTGATTGTTGCTCAGATGCCGCAGCAGATCCAACTGAGCCTTGACCTGATCGAAGTTCATGGTGGGGGCTTGCGCCTGTGGTTGTTGTCCAGGGGCGTGTTGCTGCTGCTGCTGTTGCTGTAATTGTTGCTGTTGCTGGAGGGCAGCGATGAGCAAAGGATTGATTTGCATATTGGGGGGAAGCTGTGGGTAAGGGTTCGGTTGTTGTTGGTAGGCCTGTTGGAATGGGACCTGGAAGTTGAATGGGGCCGGCATGGCTCCTCCCTGTTGGTAGGGCTGCTGCTGCTGCTGCTGTGGGAATGCAAACGGGTATTGCTGGGAAGGGTAGGCACTGGGCTGTTGGCCAGCGCTCATCAACTGCTGGAGGTAGGCAGCGTGTTGATGCTGAGCTTGGGGTTGAGGCTGGGGTTGAGGCTGGGGTTGATGCTGGGGTTGAGTGCCCTGCGTCTGTTGCTGATAATAGGAAGAACGGTCGGGACGCTCGTGATGAGCATCGCGAGATCCGGCTCCGGCTCCTCCGCGGCCACGACCAGCGCGACCGCGATCAGATCCTCGGCCTCGGCCTCGACCACCACGGAAACCAGAGTTGTTCCTGCTGTGACCAGAGAGACCATCCGCTTCGACGGGGGCCTCCTGCTGGCGCATCATCTCGTGTAGGTTCTTCGGGCGGGCCAGGGGCGTATAGCCATCGTCCGCCGGGCTGTCGTCGTAGTTCAGTTCGCTGTGGCTGAGTTTCGAGGGGCCTGGGGGTCCTCGCTTCGCCGCTCTGGCAGAGTCGCCGCTCTTGCCCTCCTTGTTCTTCTGGCGCTCCTGCTTCACCTTGCGCTTGTACTCGGCTTCCGCCTCATCGTCGGAGAACTCGACTTCGTCCTCGCCGACCTCCTCGTCGTGATAGTTCGAAGCATCGCTTCCCTTGATACCCTTGAGGGGCTGGGTGAAGACAAAGGTCGAATGCGACTCAACGTAGTAGATCGGCTTGCCTTGCGTGATCCCCCGCTCCTCAATCGCGGCTACTGTGGGGAAGCGCACCGCATAAAGCGGGTTCTCGACTCTGCCCAGCGTCTCGGCGACTACACCAGCGATCGTGCGGTCCTCCAGACATAGCAAGGAGCCAGACTCGAGCACCTGATATTCGCCGGAGGTGTTGGCCACGATCAGGATGGTATTTTCGACCATGGTTTCCACCTTTCCGAGATACACGATTTTCATTTCCGGGGAGATGGTTAGGTCGGGGATGGGCAGAACCTCTTCCGGAAGTTCGTTCGCGGTCTTCAGCTGGCTGCCCGATCTACCCTTCCCATCACCTTCATCGTCCGAGCCCAGCTCCGCCTGCATCAAAATTCGCGCCTGCTCTTCCGGGCTCAGAATCGGATAGTCTTCGTCGTCATCGCTGTCGTCGGAGGAATCGGTCGAAGAATCATCGGAAGATTCATACGGCGAGGAGTCAATCTCCCATTCGGGATGCTCATCCTCTTGTTCCTCCTCTGCCTCCTGGGTAGCATTCGCAGCAGATCCTTCTTCCCGATCGGGGGCCGCGTCCCCGGGAACCTCCTTGTCCAATTCCATGGCTTCATGGTGCATTCCGGTAGTCTCCTGGGCATTCTGCTCTACTACGGGAGTAGGCGCGACCGTAGCACCGATATTTTGACCGGTGCTGGTGTGTTGTGGTTGATCAGGCTGGGTCTCTGAAGAAGTCTCCGGGACATTGTCGTTAACAAGGCTCAATCCTGGAATTGGGAGATGTGATGTGGCCGATGCTGTCGGATCGCTCGTAGGACCATTGACAGCGTCTTGCTTGTCGTTGAGGTCGCTGCTCGTCACTGGGGTGCTTGCATTCAAGGGTGTGTTGTAGAAATCACTCCCATCATCTGCCGGTGTCAAAGCAATGGGTGGCGTGTCATTCACGCAAGGCTTTTTGACTTGGGGACCTTCGCTATGGTCCTCAGTAAGTCCCAGAGGGTGAGAAGGAGGCTGAGAGTCACTCATTCTGATGTCTGCGAGGATATGATCCAGGAATGAGAGAATCTGTGTCGCATATGGGGATGCTCTGAGCAGCAGGAACTTTTTTTCGACGGAATCGCCCAGGCGAGCCGAACAGTCGCTTATCGATAAGGCTCCCGGCGCTGGCGGATCTTTCTTCCCGCGCCCCAAATGCATCGGATATCTATACTCTATAGACCACAAACAATAATCTACCACTGTCATTCCCCTTCTTGAAGGTGGAACCTTTCCCCATCGCCCAATTCTGCTCCTGGATGTAGCACTTGCCATACCATGGCACCTACGAGGGAAGTTGATGCTGCTTCGGCGTTGACAGGCGCAACAAATACTCCGCGCACCAAAAAAAGGTACCGTCCCACCAGCTGGCATCATCTTCCCATCGCTCGAAAGCTGCGCTAATATGACAAACGCACTCGACAGGCCCCCGCCGTCTCCGTTTTACCTGCCCTTGAACGTCACTCTTTATTTGTGTCTCATATCAAACGTGCTTGCTGCTTTACATGCTCCAATCCAGGACTGCGATGAGGTCTTCAATTTTTGGGAGCCAACCCACTACCTGGCTCACGGTCATGGACTGCAGACGTGGGAATACTCTCCAGTCTATTCCATCCGCAGCTGGCTCTATGTCTCTGCTCATGCATTCGTCGGTAAAATAAGCTCGTTTGCTCTCAAAAATAAATCTTCCGAGTTCTATGCGGTCCGGTTCTTCCTTGCTATCGTTTGCGCCGCCTGTCAAACGCGACTGTACTCCGCCATATGCCGCACGCTTAGCCCACGGATCGGCCTCGTCTTCCTGATGGTCATTCTCTTCAGCCCCGGTATTTTCCACGCATCCACAGCTTTTCTCCCGTCGAGCTTCACGATGTACATGTCTATGCTCGGGTTGACAGCCTTGTTGGATTCAAGAGGTGGTCAGAAAACAGCCCAAGGGATCATGTGGTTCGGAATCGGCGCGGTCGTCGGCTGGCCATTTGCTGGAGCTCTTATTGTCCCGCTGTTGTTGAGGGAGGTGGTAATTGGCTTCTCTAGCGGAAATTTGCCCAGATTGTTTCGTGGGGTTTTTGACGGGGCTATCAGGTGCCTCACAATTCTGGTATGCTTGAAAATCACGAAGTGTCCAAAGCGCGCTAACACTTCTCAGGTTGCTGAAGTTATGGTCGATCATGTATTTTTGCGTAAGCTCGTGATCGTGCCATGGAACATCGTCGCATACAATGTTTTTGGCGGAGAGGGTCGCGGGCCCGACATCTTCGGAACTGAGCCGTGGACATTCTATATCAGGAATCTGCTGCTGAACTTCAATATCTGGTTTGTGTTTGCGATGGCTGCGGCGCCATTGCTGGCTCTTCAGGCGGTTCTCCCTTCTCAAACAGCCGACAAGCAGACGCTGTTGAGACGCCTGGCTCTCATCACGCCCTTCTACATGTGGTTTGCGATCTTCACGGCGCAACCTCACAAGGAAGAGAGGTTCATGTATCCAGCGTATCCTTTCCTTGCCCTGAACGCATCTATCTCAGTGCATATGATTCTGTCGTATCTGGGCACCAGCGATTCCAAAAAATTGGCAGGGCGCTTCGCACCCAAGCTCAAGCTCGCAGCCGTGGCGTCAATCTTCCTCGTGGCCATCGGCGCAGGCTTCCTGCGAACCCTGGGCATGATTACCGCTTATAGTGCTCCACTAAAAATCTTCGAGCCCATGGAGCAGCCAGGAGTGGCTCAACCTGGTGATTCGCTGTGTCTGGGCAAAGAGTGGTACAGGTTCCCTTCGTCCTTCTTTTTGCCTGGTGGTATGCAAGCCAAGTTCATTCGCAGCGAGTTCCGCGGACTGCTTCCTGGCCAGTTTCCCGAGGCCAAGGACTTGGCTTCTCTTTTGCAGGGCACCTCGACGATCCCGGCGGGGATGAATGATCGGAACGAGGAAGACCTTGGAAAATACGTAAGACTACTCCAGATCTTTCCCCGCATTCTACTGCAGGTGCTAACGCGGAAGGTTAGGTGGATATTTCGCAGTGCACCTTCCTGGTTGATTCCCAATTCCCCAGCAGAGAGGCTACCGAACTGGAGCCGGACTACATCCAGGATGAAACGCACTGGGAGAAGCTGGCTTGTCACGACTTCCTCGATGCCTCTCAAACAGGTCTTCTGGGCCGTCTCGTCTGGACTCCGGATCTGCCAATAATGCCGCCATCTCTGCGACGCCACTGGGGACAGTACTGTCTGCTTCGACGACGCAGTGCGGATGCAGAGCCCCAGTACTGAAGCGCATGAGCGTGCAGAGGAGGCGGTGACTCCCCTGAACTAGTAGTAGATCAGTTACTGTAGATGAACAAACAAAACACATCATCACTGCATCCATTCTCCCCGGTTTGCCCATGTTAGTAAGTCATATGCGACCCTGCAGGAGGAGGAGCCACACAGGCTTGTCTCGCCCTCCTCTGTGGGCAACACGAGTCTTTGCCTGATTGGGAAAAGATATCCCCCGGTGCCGGGGGGGGCTGAAGTGAGTGACACGATAGCGAGGGAGAAAGAGAGCCGGGGAGAGATAAGACCGTGGACCGCTACTGCAACTACCAGGCCAGGCCGATCACAGATTTGGGGGTTTGTGGATGCACCGGGGCATGAGACTATGTGAGGGGGTCAACCCAACCACCAGACAACGGATCTTATCGCTGAAGCCTATCTTCGGTTTTATCAGTCGCGTTCCATTAACCAAAACGGGTAACAACTGCTGGCTGGTTGAAGTCTTGCCTGCATTGACGGGCTCGACGCCTTAACTCGATGTACATACGCATTCTGTATAAATATGACTGTCCCAGATGGAATAAACTCTGAATTTCCTACCATGGTGAACAATCAACAACCACTTTCATGGAACATATCGACATGATGTCATCCGAACTTATAGAGACGATCCAACACCACGCCCCCAACGTGGCCATCATCTGCCTCGCAACCACAATCGGGGTCTACCTGCTGAATAAACTTCTCGAAGCATGGAAGACGTTGGCTTTGGGGTCGAGTCGCGCCAGACAATCGACTCCGAGTCTCGAAGCGCTCAAGAACAAGAATGAGGATGTCAAACGAACCCCTGGCGGTGAGCTACAACGAACGCATGTATAGTTGCAGCCCCCAACGCTGACAGCGACACCGCACAATGGATAGTATGGACGCCTTCAGACTTCCAACGACCGCCTGCGACACCGTTCCCTGACTGGGACGTGCACAAGACGAAGCCGATCCCCTACCGTCCATTCCGATACGGACCGTGAGTCGATTGTCCTACCTTGAATGTCAAGCGCTGCCTGCCCCCAGAAGTAAAACTGACCCAAGTCAAACGGACGCAGAAAATACTTCGTGACAATGGGACTCCGCAGCATGAAATGGGACGAATGGATCGGTCCGTCTGCTTTTTCCCACCTGTACACACAGACACAAACCAAAAACTAACCCCATACTCCCGAGGGGAAATCGATATACAGAACTGGACAACCACTACCTCCGCTACCACGCCGACAAAGCCAAGCGCATCGAAGAACGAGGCTCGAAATGCTGCCGCACGCACCCGGACGCAATGGACGCCGCCATCGAGCTGCTGGAAGAGCTGTACGTTTTCCCCTCCACCTTACCCCCTCCCTCCCATCCCCCAAACCACCCCCTCATTAACCCCGGCGCAAAAAAGAACAACCTACCTCCCCGAACGCTACCCAACCCTCTTCCGCAAAACCGCCACGGGCCTCACCAACCTCGCCACGCACGAAACCTTCAACACAACCCAGCGGCCCCTCCCGGAGGACCCCATGCAAACCTGCGCCCGGTTAGTGCAGGACGACCTCGCCATCATGCTCGAGCGGCCCGACGGCGAATACTACCTGCTCGCCGGCGCCGTCCTGCTCGCGGGCTTCTGGCGCCTGGAGGACAAATACGGCATGCGCCTCTCGGAGATCCACACGCACGGCGCCGTGCCCCAGTACGCCGAGAAGCTAGAGCGCGGGATGATGAACTTCTTCCGGCGGCTGCGGCCGCAGGACCCCGTCGTGCGCAACAACTACTTCATCCAGGTGGACGACGCGCTGGCCTGGTCGCACAGCATCGGCGACGAGGACAGCCCCGAGGTGTCGTGGAATACCGCGCAGAAGAACAAGGCGATCGAGCATCATTTTTTCCGCTCGGAGCGGCAGTCGCTCCGCCGCCTTCCCAAGTCCGGGGGCGTGGTGTTTACGATCCGCACGTATTTTGAGCCCATCACCAAGATTGCGGAGGAGCCGGGGGTTCCGGGGCGGTTGGCGTCCGCGGTACGGAGTTGGGGGGAGGATGTGTCCCGGTATAAGGGGAAGGAGAAGTATGAGGAGGTGTTGTTGGAGTTCTTGGATCGGAAGCATGCTGAGCAGGTGGCCCGGGGGTGGGATTTGGAGAAGGAGGAGGAGGAGGGGAGGAAGTATCCTTTCTGAGTCTTCGAGATAATTCTTGGGAGGTGGTTCGGGGTTTCTTTTATATAGGATGAGATTGTTAAGTATGGGTTTGTCTCTGGTTTCAGTTCATTATTAGGGTCCCAGTACATACTAAGTTATATCTCTTTCCTATCCGTATACCTGGTAAACCTGCCCACCTATGCAATTATGCAATCAATCACTGGAGCCAAAAACAGTACGTCTATCCATGTTGAGAACACCGACCAATTGTATCCTTCAAAGACACATACTGGGTCTCAAAGGCATAAAGGTACATCCAGACACAGCTCAGGTAGCGTTCATCTCAATGTCCAGCTTCTGCCGCCGGCGATGCGAGTAATCCCACTCGCGCTCCTGTCGCCACTCGCACTCATCCCGGAACTCACAGATGCGGCATTTCCACGCATCCATGACCTCCACCCCGCGCGGTGCCCGCTCGCCGCGCCACCACTCCATCTGGTCCGCCACGTAGGAGGTCAAGGAGTTCGGATCGAAGAGGAAGGATCGACTGCCCAGGACGCGTTTCTCCATCTCTGTCGTCGGCTTCGAGGAGATGTACTTCGCCGTGAGCAGCGGGGAGACGACGGTAGGGTAAGATTCGAGCGTGGCGGGCTGGAACTCGGAGGGGATGGATGGGGCCACGGAGACGGATGGTTGGGATTGGGGAAGGAAGGTCAGACGGAGGTTCTCCTTCATCAGGTTCCAGAGGGCGGCCAGATTGTTGTGGGAGGTAAGAATGCTAGTAGTGGAATCTTCACTGGCAGGTGGGGAAGATTTCGGTGATGACGAGACGTCCTCGGCGTCTGCGTCTTCTTGCGTCGGGATGAAGTCCGGGTCGAACTCCTGCGACGAGAGCGCGTCAAAGTACTGGTCATTGAGACCGCCCACTTCGTGGATGAAGGCGTCGGTAAAGGTACGCTGCGCGTCAAGGTTGTACCGCGCGGCGAGGACGTCAATGGTCACATCGTCACTGGTGATGAGGCGGTTCAGCATGTGATAGTATAGCTGGAGTTGGAGCTGCGTGGGACGGAACGAGGAACTCTTGACCGCTGGCACGGAAGCACTGCCTCGCGTCTTAACGTCGGTCAGGTAAACCCGGGGTATACTAGGGAGCTCGGAAGACCCCTGACTACTGGTTGCTTCGACGGTGCTAGCTTCCGGTTCTTCCTCTTCCCTCCCATAGACATCGGAGAGCCTCTTCCCGCCACGTGATGGTGCAAGCAGGTAGTCCGTCAGGGACATATGATACTCCGGCAAGATAGCCCTCGATGCCTCGATGTCGGCATAATACGAGGCGGCCGTGGCCTCGAGAGCTGGATCCGGACATTCGATAGACAGTTGATCGATGACGCCAGTGACAAGCTCGCCATCCACCAAGCCCCATATCTCCAGCTCGCGCGTGATGCCATACTCTCGTAACAGCCGCAGGCCCTGGATGATATTCCAAATACGCAAGGCGAGCGCGTCCTCCTTGGTCGTGATCTCGACCGGCACCGTCGTGTAGATCTCATCCTCCAATGTCTTGTGTATCGTACTGCCGAGCTTCATCGCCGCGGTTCGACGCTTCCGGCCATGTTTCGTAAGCGAGTACCAATACTGCAGCTCACACCATGCCGGGGAGATCAGGTCCGTGACGGAGAAGGCCTTATTGGGGGGCCGTCGGAATCGCTCCACGGGAGATCGCGTATCCTCCTCTGTATTCACTGCATTGGTGGTGGTCTCGAGGTGGCGAGCGGCCTGGCGCTCGCGTTCCTTTTCTCTGCCTTCAGAGGAATTCGGATGCTCGACTAAACGCTTCGTGGAGGGCCACAGGTTAGCGTCGCGATCACAATACGGGCGAAACAATCATCCGGGGGGCGGCAAGAGGAGAAGAGAGCATTACCAGACGAGGGACCACGGTGACCTGGAATCGACGCTGGCCGACGTGCGCCGTACGGCCAAGTCCGGCAAGTTTGCCAGGCAGGCTTCTCCCTCCCAAACACCCGAGGCAACGGGAGAGACGACGAGCCTGCATATTGATCCTCGATATCTGCGATAGTCGCAGAGGCTTCGATGGGTACTGGCAAGAGTGGAGGTGACAGTGCGGGTGCTGCGACTACAGGGTCGGGGACTGACGCGTGGTTCGGGGCGACTTTGGCGAGCAATTCGTCCAGCAGCGCCTCTTCCTCGGGCGAAAAGTCGGAGCCGTAATCGCTGCTACTGCTGCTGTCGCTATCCGCAAAGCCACCGGGAATTAGTATCGGAGACTGTGTGTGGCAGGGCATGCCTGCAATGCGTGGGGAGCGTTCATGCCATGCGATGTGGTTTGCGCTGCGTTTCGAGAGGCAGACGGGCGAGACCACCGAGAGGAAGAGGCGAATGAGAGCGGGCCGATTGTGAAGCATCCCTCACGTCATCCTTCCACTTTTACCAACCCCAATGCTACTGTACCCTCCATTCCTCCATCAAATGGGTTAATTTGACCGAGTCACTATTAAATCTCATTCCGTTCGCATCGAGTATACCGAGCAGACAATGCTGCTGTTCGAAGTCTATATATATTCTATCGCTTTTTCACTTCATGCTAATCTATAGACAAAATGCCGCATGCCATGAAAACGTCTGATCTAGGATATCCCGATGCAAAGCCAGATAACAGAAACAAAAGAAAATGAAATGTAGTGGGCCAATCACGGCCCCATCATGCCTTGATCGTCGCCGCACCAGCGCCAATGCTCACGGGCGCACTTGCCTCGGCCATCTCTGCCTCGACCTCTCGCGCCGCCTTCTGGTTCAACCAGCTCAGATACGTCTGCCATCCCACCGCAATGACACCCGAGAAGATGCTGCGGAACTGCGGTGACACGTACATGAAGCTGAAGGCCGTGACGGCCGGCCACAGCTTCACGCTGTTTGAAATACTGACCGGGAGAGCCAGCTTGAGCCGTTCAAAGGTCTCCTCCAACGACTTGCCCGTCAACAGCGACTGGAGACTGAAGAAATAGGTATTGAAGACCGGGGTGAAGACCGCCTGCTGCACGCAGACTTTGGTCAGGATTGAGAGAAACTTGGACGAGTAGTTGAAGTTGTTGTGGAGGAACATGAACCTGTTTGGTGCGCCCGCATTAATCAAGTCAGCTCTTACATGCTATAGTGTGTGTTTTTTTCAGTGAATGCAGAATGTGTCATACCACTTGAAAGTCGGAATGCTCGATCCCACCCCGACCGTCAGATGCCGCAGCGTTCTCAGCGGATCGTATCCTCCACCGGCCCTTTCTTCCTTCTTTTCTTCGCTACCCGCCTTTTCTCCCTCCGAAGACTGTGCCGTCGCCGTCGCCGGGGCAGGATCCGCGGGGAACAGTAGTTGTGCACTCAGATCGCCGCAGAGATAGACGATGACCGAGCTCCAAAGCTGCGTCGCATACGGCCGGCGCTCCTGGACCCGCGAGTATGCCCGCGCCACTCTTCCCACAGGGCCAGCCTGGATGATTTGAAGCAGTGATCGCGAGCCCGTCTGTGCGGCGGTCGGCGTCGGGACGACCGGGGCGCCCGAGGCTGAGGCGGCTGTTTGTGCATTGGGTGGTGAGGAGGAGACTTTTGGGGAGGGGTCTGGTTTGGATGCTGGGGAGGATTGATATCTCCGTGGTCGGAGCGGGCGGGAGAGTTGCAGCGACCGGGGGATCGGTGGTCTGGCGAAGATGATGGTGCTCATGGTGTAGGATATATGGCGTATCGAAAGAAATTCCTATATCATTATTTGCATGTATAGATCGTACAATAGTGAATGTGTCGGCGAGGGCCAGGTCAATTAAGGTCGCGAGAAAGACTCCTAGTATTGGGTTGGGCGACCGGCCACATCAATGAGCGCAGACCACGAGTCTCACACCGATAGGTTTGTTCAGTCAAGCATGCAAGCGTTTTCACGGCGTGAGAAATGCTGTCAGAGGGCGAACTAGGCACAGCGAGCTATAGTCCGTCAGGAACGATAATAGTTAAAGAGAAAACATGATTATGAATCATTCTGGGAGGGGGGAAAGAAACTCCGGAAGGCAAATGTCGGGAGCGCATAAGCAACAGCCGGTGCCGAGGGTCGGCGAAGCGATCCGATCGCTGGGAATTCGCTTATCTCCGAACGACCCATAAGATAGGTATAGCATTTAGCTAGCTACGGTATTTTCATAGATTGCATTCAATTAATATCATTATTCAGATCGGAGAATCTCTATAGAAATGCCTGAAACAAACAGAAACTCCACCCTCTATCAACAAACAGTAAGTGGCATATACATAGAAGCACGGGGTATATCAACATGCAAATCATCGAACAATCACTGCCCAGAAAATGAGGCTGATTGTTTCATTTCACTCGACGCAGCCATCCACGGCTCACATCGACATCTTCAAAAAAGGTAATAGATACTAAAAATTATATAGTAATCGGGAAGTGGGTAGGTGCTTTTTGAGAGGCGTTTTGAGGGCGTTTTGAAAGGCGCTCGAACCAAATCAAGTCGCAGGTAGGAGTTCGACCTTCAAAACTGCGTCTGCGATGCGGAATCAAGCTTTGAAGGACTCGCGAGTGTGGACCCGGTCGATGTCATAGGGGTTACCCTCGTAAAGCGACTGGCGAACGGAGTTCACCGTATGAGTCGAGGCCTTGCTGCGAGTGCGGTGCAGGTCCGTCAATCTCTCCTTGTGGCTCGAGTCGGAATCAGCGCTAAGGGTCTCGGCAGCCGGGGCTTCGGTGCGGTCGAATCCATGCTCCTCCTTGGTTTCCTCCTGGGGTTCTTCGGGTGCGACCTCGGCCTTCTTCATGTGCTGCGCCAGCATCTGTCGCATGAAAGCGTCGGATTCGGCAGCATACTTGCAGCGCTTGCGAATGGCGGGTCCATACTTGTAGAACATGAAGGGGAAAGGCACACAGGCCAGTGCCAAGAAAGCCGGGATACAGGTAGCCCAGTGAATACCAAGATCCTCGTACATATAGGTCGTGAAAAGAGGAAACACGGCACCGAAGATAGATCTCAGAACGGAGTTGGCGGCCAGGACCGAAGCGGCGAAGATGGTGTAGGTGTCAATGAGATAAGAAAGGTTGCTCAAGAACACCAGGACGAGGCCAAAGCCGAAGGGAACTCCAGCGGCCACACTAGCCATCCAGTGAATAGACACGTAGTCTGTCCAGGCAAACCAGAAGAGACCAACTGGAATCGCAACAGAGGCAATCAGACATGGGGGCAGGCGAGCCTCTGGGGGCGCGAAGCCGCCGTGCTTCTGAGAAACACGGATGTACCGCTTGTTATCGAGGATGTTGTAAACCACAGCCCCGATCATACCCACCATGATGCCCAAGAATGGAAGACTGCCAACTCCCTGGTTCCAGCCACGGTGCAGCTCGTAGACAATAGGATAGGCAGCGAACAGCATGTAGAGGGTTCCGTAAACGATGGCGATATAGAGAGAAAGCAGGAACACGATCGGCTCCTTGAAGAGCAGGATCCAGGGGCGGGACAGCGCAGTCTTGAAGGCCTGTCCAAGGGTGGTCTTCCCCTGATCGATGTCGGTCTTGCTGCGATAGATCTTTCCGGTAAGCTTGGTCAGTTTCTCTGCACGGCGACGAAGCAGGACCGGTGCGTAGGTTTCCGGGACAGTCAACGATCCAAGAATCCAGACAACGCCCGTGAAGGCACCCAGGAAACCCATCACCCATTTCCATCCGGCATTCATACCCAGGAAACCGCCAATAATAGGGCCGAGCACGGGACCTGTATCACAGAATGGTGGTTAGCAGCAGGTCGAGATGGCAAGACGTAGAGAGAATGTAACATACCCAGGAAAGGAGCAGCGGCGAACAAACTTGTCGCAACACCTCTTTGACTGGCAGGGAACATATCGGCGATGACACCACCAGCGTTGGTCATGGGCGACGATCCGAAAGAACCTGCGAAGAAACGAAGGATGATGAGGGTCCAGGCGTTCTTGGAACCAGCAGCGCCGGCAGTGAACGCCGTGAGCGCCATGTAAGTGACACAATACACAATTTGACGGCCAAACATTTCCGACAGCGGTGCCCACAGGAGCGGACCTGCATCTTTGTTAGGATGAACTGGTGAAAACACACGTGCGAAAACAAGGAGACGGATTGCGGAGCGTACCAATAGCGAAACCAAGAACGAAAAGAGAGACACCGAGGGTCGCAACCTCGGTACCGATTCCAAAGTCTTCTTCAATTTCGACAATACCACCAGTGTAGGCTGATGACACAAGGGCGACGGCCAAGGTCGCGAGCGCCATCATCATGGTGAAAGTCCACTTCTTCGTCTCGCTGAACTGCATGGGGTTGCGGGGATCCTGGGGGAGCCAGGTGACTGCATACGGATCCTCATCGGTACCGGATCCAGGATAGTGATGATCGATAATTTCCTGAGTTAACACGCCTTGGTCGGTCAACAGACGCCAGAATGGGATCTTGTTGCTGGCAATAGCGATGGCCGAAGGCCCACTGTCCCCCTTGTCGTTGGCCATCGCGGAGGGAGAAGGGCGAGTTGTTGGTGAGGACTGGTAGTCGATAGTCGATCAGGTAGCTGACAGAGTTGGCTGATCGTGGAATGTAAGTTGTTGGTTGAAGTACAGATTAGGTAGGTTGAGTGTGAGGTTCAAGCCTTGCTCGACCGATAAGATACCGGTTAAGGTAACCACCAAGGGTCCAAACAAACAACCGTCGTTAGTAGTGACCGAGTGAACCCGAGATGTATAGTAGCAGGCTAGGAGACTAAAATGTAGTCAGTGTAACCAGCTGCTTGGTAAATCACTCTAGCCGACGTCTAAAAACGACGATCAAATCACGTAGGTATGATCTATCAATGGATAATCTTCAGCTTGAAACCGAAACAACCTACGTACGATCGAGGGACATGGCATCGGATATATACAGCGGCCTAGCGACTAAGGAGAGGGGCTAGAAATTTCTGCTAATGTCTGCACCACCTGGCATTGTCCCACCACGGCCACCACGGCGTCATCTTGCCCTGGCGCTACAGACGGGAACGACTAATCGTTGTAGGGACTTTTGGGGACTTTAGCCTCGGATCTTCGCCGGTCTGAGACCAAAGCGAGGAACCCAGGGACACACCAGTCCAGCGATTCCCAAAACGGGGGCTTTCTGCCGACATTCGTGCACAGAGGCCGGCTTATGCAGGGCACAAATTCATCACTGGGGCGGGCGAGACTGCATGGCCTCAGCCAATGTGGGCCGACGAACCCACCCAGGAGGCTCGAAATTCTGGTTCCATGGGCAAATCCGCACACCTCGTGGACGGCAATCCCGATGGCGTCTGCGAGGGCTCGATATGATTAGTCGGTGATGAAGAGAAAAGTGCTGATGTGGGGGGATCCTGTGTGGTGGAAATTTTATCTTTCGACAGGGGAACTTACCGAGGTCCAGGAGATCAAGCAGACAGCTGCCTTACATAACCCACGGTCCTAGCCCAGATATGGCCGTTTCAGATTGTTTAGCAGGAAATTATGGACAGCCCACCGTCGAAGGATCTGAGCGGGATATTGGATGATGGGACTGGACTGATCATGAGAACAATGGCAAAAATCCTGCTCGACGATGATGGCTGATCGGGGGGGTGAGAGAAAGAGATATCATCATTGTGACATGCAGCCTGTTCAGAACCTTATGCTGCATCGGGTCGCATAGAAGTCCCGAGACAGGCTTAGCGTTTTCTAGAACGGGCAGTTCCATGGATGGATATGATGAGTCGAACTAGAACATCAGCGGGAGAACCTCTCCTTCCTACGGTACGGAAGAAATGATTCAGACACGCCAAGCGGGCTACGGGATCCCGACGATAATCCGACTTCATAAACAACATGATTAACAATCATCTTCCTGCTCAAAGTGGGCCGAATCAAGCGCAATATCCGACTATTGACTAAAGATCGTTTCTTGCATAACAGGCCTTGCGTGGCCTTTCACAGCATAGTCAACAACACTGCAGTCACGATCTCGTGCGGTCATATCAGCAACTATAACGCAGCCCAGAGATAATGGCTCGGTTAAGTAGCCTGAGTGTACGGAGTAAAGACGAGTCAACTATGCCACAGGCCCGTCAGTATCAACATGCAGCTACTGGCCATTTTGCAGGGGTTGAGAGGGGGATGATACTCAGGCCTCAGCGCTTTTGCAGGAACAAATCAACCCCAATATAAATAGATGATTGTCGGATTACGCCGCCGCCCCACCCCTCGCACATCGCTGACCGGCTAGTCGACTGCCTGTTGGACTACTTCATCTTAATCATTTCTACTCCGTACTCATGATCTAAACATTATATCAGACGCTTGGATTTTATACAGGTTCATAAAAGCTTTGTGATCGGCATTCAATCAACATTGGCATCAAAAAAGTCCAAAATGCAAAGTCTGTTCCGGAGAAGCAAGCTGTGAGTTGGCGGTCTTGTCCTTCTCTCGAGGAATCTTCCGCAGGCGCCAGTGGCTTGATTGCCCCCCTGCCCTCTTACTCAGTGGTTCATTGAGGAGTGTAAGCGAAGGGAGGTCACACCGCATCCCCCGACCGTGCTACCAACTAACACTGGAGAAATACGAATTAAAGAGCAGAACGCGCACCCGGCGGTCTGACTCGCATTCGACCTGTTCCCTTTGTCCCGGGCCCCGTCGATCCGGAGAGGAGGGGGGGGGCATGCGGATGGGGATGGACTGATCGCAATCCAGATCAGGGAAGTGACACCTGGTACCTACGAGTAGGTGGGCTACAGGTGACTGTCTCGATTTCGTCCTTATGATATCTGAGCCGAGCCTCAAGCCTCGCGTCCGTGCTCTTTTCTCTCGGGCCAAATCCTTTACCAATCGGGGATGACTTACTTAGCCGGTGCATGCTGCGCTGCCGGGTCGTATCACCATGACTCTTTGCCCGGGCCTAGTCGGGCTTACGAGAATCATCTGGCTCCTCGCTGCCATCGTTAGCTGAAGCTCCATCATGGAGCAACATCCACAAACAAAAGAAACAAAATTTTCCGAGCAGATCGCGCCAAAGGTCTTGTGACTTTTGGGCTATTCAGACACAACACGCGACATAACGACGTGGCAAGTGCACGTAAGCTTTTCCGACTTGAGGCACCCATTGTATAGCGCAAGGTTTTATGCTTTATGCACAATGTAACGTTTCCATACCTCCACAAGCATGGAGAGTGCAGGATGACAACTGATCCCCTTGGCAGATTGCAGTCGGAAGACTTCGCCTCGAGTCATCTGGTCCGAACGGCGGCCACCTCTTTGGTCGACTGATTCCGTGCAAGTCCTCAAATGTTGACACACTCATACAAGGTTAGGAAGACTGCCTTCCCTCACCGGTTCTTTTGTTTTTCTTTTGTCTCAACTGCAAGCCAAGATCGGAAACCTGGTTCCGATCGCCCTGCATTTCCAGAGTTGAGACTATGACGAGGCTAGGCCGTCGATTGCAACATCGTCATAGAGATTCATTCTGTGGCTGAGTGCTCTGAGTGGCTAGGGCGTCGAGAACAAACCGGGTACGCCTCATATGTTCCTCCATCAAGACGGTATGAATCTGACCCAAGTGCTACTGTGACTCAGATATTAGAATTGCTCATTTGCTGCAAAGACCCCAGAATGAGACAGTTCCCTCTGTATGATGAAGAAGTCTTCTGAGGCTGAGACGATTCAGGATCGACTATCGATAAGAGGCGCTGGCGGGAGTGAGTGGGGAGAATGCGCCCGCGGGCTCTAGTCACTCTGTAGTCCATACTTATGCAGTAAGCCTAACTTGCCCAGGGCAGCTCAGCCGACGCTTGGACCAAGGGCCTATAGATACAGCAATCTTCTTAACCTACATTCTCTTCGCATAGTAAAGTAAGGTCTCTGGGTTCTCACCTTGACACAATAAGAACGCGTATATTCTTGATCCATCAACGATGGAGATCGTCGACATCATGGACGTACACCCAGACCAGACGGTCGCAGTTCCCAAACCCGCAGAATTCGCCCGACCGGTGGCCTCCCTGTACCAGTAGTAACAGCCACGACAACCTACTATCGTTTCTCAAGGCGATAACTCCTTCAGGTGAACCCTTTTCGCGGTCGCAGTACTCCTTGACAACACTAACTTCTTTCACAGTCCTATATACAGGCTCCCTCTCACACCAACGCCGTCTTGTCTTAATCTCATCATGACCCCCCCCCCCTCCCTCCGCCATTCGTCATTCCAGACTCGTCTTGTCCAAAAGAATTTGAACCCGTCCGTCCGCTTCCGCCCGAACCGGCCTTTGCCATCGCCATCGCCATTGCAGCGACAGAGACCGTGACCGATCTACCTACAAAGCACCGTCCAAATACTCTGTAAACAATTCGACTTTTCTTCCTAGAACATAAAAGTCGAAAGCCGCAGGCATACATTGATAGAAGGAAAACCAAACCTAGAATGGCGAAGTTGTTCCTGGTTCGATAATCTTCGAGAAATGACGGAAAGACTCAAACGGCTGGCTGGCTGGCCGGCTCCCCAGGGGTCGGTCGCCCACTGTTCGTCTAGTTTGCCAGGGTATTTTTGGCCCATTTCGCCACCTCGCCAGGTGAGCGAAGGATGAGCCCCTATGAGTCAGGAAAGGGGGGTTGGGTCCCTTCATGCCAGCGTAGATTGTCTACAAACGAGTAAAAGTAGAATCGGGATGCTGCAGGAGAGGGCAGACGATACTGAGACACGTCATGAGGATTTTCTAATACGTTTACATTCTCAGTATCGCGGCGCGGTCGCGCGGCGCGTCGCGGCTTGCCAGACTCTTTCCTCCCGACCATGGGGCAAGGAACAGAACCTACACAAGGAATCAGACTACAAAGCATATGTCATCAGACCAGGATTTAGTCCACCACTAAAGAGATAGAACATCATCACTAGGCGAATCACAAAGCTGGATTGGATTGCATCGTCATAGATCCTGCATTTCGCGTCTATGCCATCCGATGGCGCTTCCGATGGAAGTCGCTTCTCGAATCAAATCATCTGTAATGTACATATTCGGACGGATGCATCGCCACGATCATCAATCCACCCCAGAGCCGCTCGAGAGAAACAAACTCGGCAGCCTACTATTTATTGCGTAGCAAGAGAAATCACAAAACCCATTTGCCGAGAGACCCGTTGTGAAATTCGCAAAAGAAACCCATCATGTATCGCCAGTAGTCATGAAATAAGCAAAGAAAGAAACCCCGTTATCGCCATCCCATAAAAGAGCCAACCAGTTGCAGAGATAGACTCATCCGAAGATTAAATGAATCTAGGAGCGCTCACCGCGGAGACGGCGGGCAAGCTGGATGTCCTTGGACTGGATGGTGACACGCTTGGCGTGGATGGCGCACAAGTTGGTGTCCTCGAAGAGGGAGACGAGGTAGGCCTCAACGGACTCCTGGAGAGCACCGATGGCAGAGGACTGGAAGCGGAGGTCGGACTTGAAGTCCTGGGCGATTTCACGGACCAGACGCTGGAAGGGGAGCTTGCGGATGAGGAGCTCAGTGCTCTTCTGGTAGCGACGGATCTCACGGAGAGCGACGGTACCTGTGGGGGGAAGGTATTAGAAGAGATGATCCAGTGACCACTTTGATAGGGAAGGAACATACCGGGCTTGTAACGGTGAGGCTTCTTGACACCGCCGGTGGAGGGAGCGGCCTTGCGGGCAGCCTTGGAAGCGAGCTGCTTACGGGGAGCCTTGCCACCAGTGGACTTACCTGTAAAGCAAAGTGGTTAGCATGATGGTTCGGGTGAGGTGAGGCGCGTTCAAGGAGTGAGACGTGTCGCGACCATGACGCGAGATGAAGAACCCCCTTGAAGAGGAACGACAGTGACAGTGAGGTGAAGTGGAACTTACGGGCAGTCTGCTTGGTTCTAGCCATTTTAGATGTTTAGGTTTGATGAATTAAGTCGACTTGAGATGGAAAGATAAAGTTGTGGATGGTTGTCGATGATAGAAGTAGTAAGGTGTCGACGGGATTGGGGAGATGTAAGAAGGATGGAGGAGGTGGGTGGGGGGCGGTATTTGTAGTAAGCGAGAGGGGTGGGTAGTGATCTAGGTGGTGAAGTGTGAGGGGGGCGGGTGGGTGAGTGAATTGGCAGTAATGGAGGGTGGCCTTAGCGCCCGTTTCCTTTGATCCAAAAATCGATCGGAAAGCAGTACACCATAAGCTCTGATTTCGGGTCTCACTTTTGGCGGGCAAAATCAAAGGGCCAGCAGGCAGTTTCGGGCGGGAAGGGAAAAGGCGGTCCTGCGCTAAGCGAGTTTCTTCCCGCCCGTCAGCCAATAGGATCACAGGATCACGCATCTAGAATGCCCCCCTGCCACCTCTTTGATCTCTACCTCAGGGAAGGGATGAAGGGCCATCAGAATGCTTGGTAGAATGGCAGCCATCGGCCAGAATGTCTCTGATCTTCTTTGATCGTTGATCTCGGTGGTTGGGGACATTCCGGGGCAGATCAAGTCTGAGGCAGCGGAATCACCACTGCTCGGTCACGTTGCCGGCCAGATCAAGCCCGCCGTCCGGGATCCTGTCCGCTGATTGGTTGATTCGGGTCTTAGCGTGTGATTCCAACGCCCTCCCCGCCCTCTGCCTTTCGCTATACAAATAATCCCCCGTCCCATGGAAGCCTCTCCTCCTTCTTCCCTTAACATCTATCACCAGCTTTAATCGCCCATTCTATCTCCACCTCTTATCACCTCACCAACTTTAATTCAACTCTAATTCCGTTTCACAACAAACCGTCAACATGACTGGACGTAAGTCTATTGCTTCCACTTAGACCTGATTCCTCCATCGGAATCAACTCTCCCATCTCATGCATCATGTAAACTGACATGACGCGTTTCCAATAGGTGGCAAAGGTGGAAAGGGTCTCGGAAAGGGTGGTGCCAAGCGTCACCGCAAGATTTTGCGTGACAACATCCAGGGTATCACCAAGCCCGCTATCCGCCGTCTCGCTCGTCGTGGTGGTGTCAAGCGTATCTCTGCCATGATCTACGAGGAGACCCGTGGTGTCCTCAAGACCTTCCTCGAGGGTGTCATCCGTGACGCCGTCACCTACACTGAGCACGCTAAGCGCAAGACCGTCACCTCCCTCGATGTCGTCTACGCTCTCAAGCGTCAAGGCCGTAAGTTTGCTCCTAGAACGCGTCCACTCCAAGCAACGCATTCTAATTCGTTTTTCTCTCTCAGGCACCCTCTACGGTTTCGGTGGTTAAACGCGTTCTTCTTTTCCTGCTCTTTTCTTTTTAGCCATCCTGCGCGGTCGGCGCGTCAGTTGTCCTTCCGCAGCAGTGACGCGACGGGTTGCTTTTTCGGGTTGGTTCATGGTATGACTGGGACGTTGGGGTGTTCTTGATCTTTTTATTACAAGTATCCATGGGTCTGGGTTTGCTTTATCGCACTTTATTTTACTTTTACGCGTCCACTACTGGTCTGCTAGTGCGCGCGCTTGAATTTTCTGTATCATAGCGGCCTTTATGCTTCCGGCTGGTGCCATAGGCTAAACACGATCGCGCGACCTACCTAAGACGCGGTCGAATATGAATACAAACGGTCGAAAGAACTCAAAACAATTTTCTCTGTGTCTCTTTGCGTAGCTTGCTTCTGGTTGCTGTCCTTTAGTTTTCGCCTTTATTGTGCGTTTGCCTTGTTCGGTTGTGCTGCGACGCGTGTCGCTTCGCGGCGTGATTGCGGGCCTCCGTCACTCGTTGATTTGACTCCTCAGGCATCATCCCCCCTCTCCTGTGTTGATTTGATTGTTCTAGTATGATCGTAGCTTCCGAATGCCTCTTCATATGTCGTTGTATATGTAGGAGCAATGCATCGCTCTTGTGCATTTTACGCTGTTTTGATGTAGTCATGTTCATCCGATTCTTGGTCTGTAGTCTGGATGTTCTACGCGACGTCAATATTAATGTCCCTTTTCCACGCCGATCTTCCCAGGTATTTTACTTTTGATGGGCTTTGTCGGTAATGAAACTGGTCACTCTTGATTGTGTGGTCCTTGCACTGTGAATATCGTATGTTATGGTGGAAGATCAGGGATAATGCTGAGACTTAATACCAAGACTGTGGTGTATGCTGCAATATATATCATAGCACCTTCCGAGCAGACCCCAACACCATCCTACACTCTACTAAATCAGGACAGCACTGCAATAACACACCAAAATAAAGGCAGAATCTCGAAAAATACAGGCCACAGAGCCATCAGAAACAAACTCGACATCATAGCACCGATATCAAGAGTGTAATCATGCACATCAAATAGTGATAGCTGGGGGGTTCAACTCGACACCGACCCGAACCCGCGGAAAACCCGCCGGGGTTCAACCCAAGCTCGAGGGACCTGGCACCGATTCCACATACATACAGTGGAGGTTAATCCGCCCGAGGCGTCGCCAAACCATGCTCTTCACAACCACGAAAAAAGAACGCTCGAAAGCAAAAAGCCAGCGATGACTAGAATACTCACCGGAAAACTTCTGGCGCGAGGCCAATACATACTCGGATGCAAAACAGAGCACCATCGCAACCACACGGAGCTCATAACGTACAGTATATGCTTCCCCGTACCACGCCGCGGCCCCGGCTCCAGCATGAAACGCGTGATACGTACAGTAGACACTCGCTATGACGAACGATATGGAAAGCCAACTTGGTCCATCGTACCAAGGAACTCTCCACACTGAGATCGATTCACGTGAAACTGGCCGAAAAACGCGAAAAAAGGTCGTTATATCGAGGAATCCGGTATGGCGAGGTTCGGTACAACAAGGATTCACCATATTGTCGCAGAGGAATCCATCGTGAACACACATTCTGGCAACTCTGAACTAAGACGGAGTAGGCCTGAGCATAAATACTACGCGTCACAGACACTATTCACAACACACGCGGAAGTTACACATATCAAGTCTTGTCCATGACGCGGCGAAGAAACACGACGCGCCAATATGATCGGATTGCATCAAGAGATTAGATGTATTCACAGCTACGATCGCAATGACCGACAAACAACCCCACAGAAAGGCACGCGGACAAAACTTCCCGACCCCAACGAAAAGAGCGACCGCATCGCCAACAGGTTCAACCCGGGTTCAACCCATTCCAACCGCTCAGGTTGAACCCGAGATCAGACGGACAGCAACCACACGGCAGATCCGAAAGATGACGCGTTCTACACCACCGAACGAGAGCCGGGAGCCAGGACAAAAGGGAGGACGAGCAGAAGACTGAGATGACCAGAGACGGTTAAGCTTCAACATGGCACTCCACGGAGCTGGATCAATATCAATCAACCCAGTCCGACCAGGGCGATGGCAAGCACAGCAGAAGACTAGAGCAATCAACTCAAGCAATATACGATCGCTGTGGAAAGTCAACTTCAATTACTGCTAACAAGGATCGCAACACCCTGCTCTGCCACAGGTTAACCCACCGGCTCGCCCTAGATCCGACACCGATGCGCCCAAGGTCAGACAGTTTGTGACTCGATGAGAAGTGCTCCATAATACGAAGCCCAGCAGAATACGATCAGCCCGGGTCTGAGTCGTTTGCGGAGCTCTGGTCAATGACCATTGTCTGAACTGGGGTGGCGACGGCAGGACAATGTACACCGAGACACGGAGATACCAGGAAGTGACGCGATTGATCACGCGGGATTCCTAGCTGACTTGTCATCTCGCAAGGCTACTATAGGTCCTGCCATCGATATTCTGAACACAGATGTTTTCCGCGACGGCAACGAGGAGAGATCGTAGACCAGCGTATCCAGCCCCTCCTTCCACTACCTCGACGAATCCCAGTGGAAAAACCCCGCTTCAGGACAGACATGCGACGGACGCGATCAAGTCTGGGACAAGGGGCATTCACAAAGCAAAAGACAAAACGGGCCGAGGAACTTGGAACCCGTCGACCAGATGCTGGTTAAAAGTTCACAATGCCCAGTGTACAGTCCACCTGCTGAGCATCATGAGCAAAGCCACAAGCAGTTACGCAAAGACAGTTCGGCCTATCGGTTAGTCACTACATGACTCACACCCGTTGGGAGCGGCGTATGGCTCCGGCAAGTCGCCCTGTCTGCACAGAATGCCGACAGTGCTCATTCCGAAACGAGACGATGCAGCGCCATGCTACGGGAGTATATGGACCAGAAACATCGAGGTACATCTGCCGATGACACTCAATGCTGGGCTGGATGACATACTCCTGCCTGCATCACAATCAAGGGTAAAGTTCGTGGGGGCTATTCGACTCGCGCGACGGCGAGTGTGCGTAGCTGCTGCGCATGCAGGTGCTTACGGTGCTCGCTGTAAGCTACACCGTCTGAATCATGGCACCATATGATCAGCCATGATCAGATACCGACTGAGTGAGAAATGCGAGAACCATGAAACTTTGGATGAAGACTTGTTGCTACAGATCATTTGACGCGAGCAAGCACAACAGGTAGGAGGGAACTGTCTACAGATACGTCGGCTTTCCTCCCACGGGACTGCCTCCATGGTGATCGTGGAAATGGCGGACGATGCTGGCGAGAGCCCTTCGGTTCAGCTACTAATCGCATTATAGAGCTCCGAGCCAGAACATGCATATCCCGAGGCGCCCTATGAGCTGCCGAGGGAGGCTACAGTCGTCTACCCCCAATAGGTGCTGCGGCATATGCCCGAGACACACCGGGATGATGGACAACAGAGTAGCCTCAGTATACAAAGTGGCCAGGTCGGCATCCAGCTTCTGTTGTTGATGCTTCCTGCGTGGGCTAAAGACCCAATTTCGGGTAGACAGCCCACTGTCCTCTGTGCTTATGTTTTGTAAGTCTACAACGGAGAGGACAAGGATGGCAGTGGCCGATCAGCGCCTGCCTGTCATGCTTTTGTATCGATATCGTAGTGGTTTATGCCTTGTTGAAGGCCGTGGGGGATGCTCGGATCTGAATTAGCCCTGCATTATACAGTCTGGTTTGCAGACTGCAGAGGTTTGTAGATGCTTATACGATGCAATTTGCGCGGTCCACCAAGACCCTGGAAGTCGAACTCAAAAACCAACACGAGGATATCAATCATCTGTGTGACGGAGCAAAAAAGATCAAATAAAGCGAAGAAAAAAGGTGCAAAAAAGAGATGTCCCGAGGGAGGTTCGAACTCCCGGCCTTGGGATCGCCCAGAAGTGATCTTCCGAGTCATACTGATGTATGAGACCCACGTGATAACCAACTACACCATCGAGACGACTTGTTGAAATGACCATTGAAGTTATGTTTGAAGACCGCATCCCTCATGACATACCGACCGCATCCATCATGGGCGGGTCAGCCAACAATGCGCCATGGTGTCATGATCGACATTGCAGTCCGAATAATGATGAATTTGAATTATGTATGGTCCCGGATGGGTAGACCCGATCACACAGAGAACGGGGGACCCTTACACTCCTCATTCATACCTGGTAAGGCCATTACTGTACGTGTAATCGGTTGACGGACGGACGAGATCAACATGATCCGTATATCATCATGCGATTTGTGGCTTGTGGGAGGTTCATATTGCATGGCGTAAGGCTTTGCTCCCTGGTGGGTGGTGTTTCTTCTCGTTGTATATGTCATGGTGGTGGTTGGGTATCCGGGTCGGTGGTGAGGAGGATATAAGTATGCATGCATGCAGGCCAGAGTTATGGCATTGCTGGACAGTACTTGGGTGCTGGGCTTTGTGGTGTTCTACCAATTGTTCTATGGGATTGAAGTTGATACCAACCCTGGGATGACTCAATTCGGACGACCATAGGCCTCACGACCTCCCAGGCGTGACTATGTATTGTACCATATGATTAGGTATGATGAAGTGCACGTTCTCCAGAGAAACGGCCTCGGAAATACAGTTCCTGGTTCCTCCAATCACTGACTCCCCCAACGTGGAGAGAGCGGGTTTCAGAGCACCTCATGGCGAGACAGTTACAAAATCGAACCTTGTCTTGTCTGTTCATTTGAGTTGAGTACGTACTTTGCACCTAACCGACCTACAAACCATATATCCGTATAATGCATGACCTCCCAGTAGTGCGGCCAAATTCCCAGCCCAAGATACTCAGCAGTCCAGGCACCATTGAAACTACTTCTCTCTCTACTACCCATCTTGGCTCCTAGAACCGCCCATCCCAAACAAAACACGCGCCCCCCCTCCCCCCTCCCCCCTCCAAAGCTCCCAAAATGCAATAATAGCGTCAGACACGGGGAAATAAGGCCATATCTCCATCATCCGCGATGATCCCGACCCCGAACGAGTAAGTAAACGCGGCAATCGACCATGCAACAACCCACCCACCCATGCATCCCCACTCCACCGAAATCCACCCTGACCAAAGCTTCTTGAGGGAGGGAAGATGGTTCGTTCGTTTGTCCACCTCTCCACTCCATGATGATGTACATATTAGTTCGAAATGATTTGACTTGCATCCACAGCTACCCTTACCTCCCTCCCTACCCTTGACTATCCTCCACCTCCTTCCCTCCCCCCCGTCCCGTCCCGTCCGATGTCGAGAATACTCGACTACTAACTACCCTTCCTCACTCAATGAGCAACAGAACCCACCGCACTGACTCATGTCAGTAGGATCACCGTAAAAAAAAAGACCGCCGAGTAACCCCGCCTGTGGATTGTACATCGCAATGGTCCCTCCTTACTTACACAATGGATCTCATCCTATTCGTCAATGGGAGGGGGGATACAACAAGGGTGGTGGAAAAGAGAGGCGAGGACGCAACGATTGCTCCATCGTGACGGCACGTCAGACAAAAAGTACATACAGTACATACCATCCACCCACCATCGAACGAACATTCCCCACAGGAGGAACGCCTATCTCGTAAAAATCTAGCTCGAGCTTTCTCCTCCAACGTCTTTTGTCCAGGAAGTCGGGACGACGGAAAAACCCACCTCACTATTAACCTAGACGAGTTAAAGCCCACTGCACCGTACATAACGCCAGCACTATTGGATGAGTGTACACAAAGTACATGCCAGATTGCGTTATAACTTATGGTACGAGTAAGTGTTGAGGAATGGCCTACCTCGGTAGGTACTCAACCCATAATTTACCTACATCCACAGTCTCAGTCCACAGCCCACAAACCACTGCAGTGAAAGCGCAAGCGCAATGTAAGTGTAAGGAACTCCGCAACGGCGCACCAGAAGCCAACTGAGCAAAAGCAGCAATTCCAATCCCACCCACCTGGACTGTACTGTAGCCCCCAAAACACCTCCAAAACACCACCAAAACCTACAACCAACAAACACCCCTATCCCCATCCCCATCGCCAAACCCAAGCACGAACATCACATATCATCCATCTTCATCATAATTATCAAAGCCAAGACCCCTCCAAACCCCTCTAACTCGTCCAAGCAAGAACCACACGCACGTCTCGTCAAGAAATCAAGAAAGATCAAGAACCACCACATAGCATTACCCTGAAAATGTGGTGTTATGTAGGTATGATGTAGATTCAGAATCATCTGCCCGTTGCCCGCTGCCCGCTGCCCGCTGCCCGCTGGCCCCCATACGTCCTCACCCATGTCCCCTTCCAATCAATCCCCAAACCTATCTGAGGTATTCAATCCTCAATCTTGCTTTCATCGTTCAACCCGTACCGTAGAATACCTTGCCTTGAAATTCGAAGCAATCCTGCCCTGCTTGCTTGCTTGCTACGACCCCTCGAATTCCATGTATCGATAGCCCCAAGTCCAACCCCAACCCCAAAGCCAACCTCCAAAACGATAGGTACTGTATGATATAAATGGAATGATGACATACCTACCTTACCTTACTGTACCTTACTCTACGCTGTATCGCGGGGGAGGTAAACGTACACATACACACAGGTGTCACCGGGGTACAAGTAAAGCAAGTACTTACTGGGGTAGGTAACTCATACATCACAGACCTGACCACCAGACACACTTACCAAAACACAAGACAGCTTAGTTCGCATGTATCCTGCCTGCCTACCTGCTGCATCACCGAAATTCTCCCGGGATTTTTTTTTTATCTTTTGTTTTTATCTTTTGTGTGTTGTTCTTTGTTGCGATTGTGTAACCCTACCCAAATGCAGGTCCCGGCTGGGGGGGGAAGGTTAGGTATGTACTAGGTACCTAGCAGTCAGTTACTGTAGTGACGGAGGGGCGTGAGTGCATGGAGCACTCGGGTTTCATAGCTTTCCCTCCTGCTCATGATACCGGCAGGAATGATTAGGTAGTGACTCCGACTCCGGGTGCTCCAAGGTACGAGTACAGTTCGACCTGACCTGGTAGAATGAGGCATGGATGGGTCATCTATCCTAGATCAAGTGAATAGACGAGTCATGGGGTGGCTCTCGTATTCATCGACTCATACTACGAGTATAATCCACTCTCTACACAACAAGCGAACGATATTCGTGGAATCTCAATCATGGTGATGATATTTGTACATTTTCCACCAAGCAATCAAACAAAGCTATTGTACAAGCCATTCGTGTGTATGGGCATTTTTGCATCCCAAGCCCAAAGAACCCACACCATGCCATCCCAATGCAAGAACCTCGCAATCAGTAACAAAAAGACGTGCGACACATCATAAACGTAACAATCGTACACAGTCGAGTATAGTACAGCATGCCAGAAGGATTCGAATCCCACGCATGTATAAAACAAAAACAAAATTTGAACAGATCCAGCTGCGCAAGCGTGACGAGTATAATCACAGTATCATCATCCCATATGAACAAATTGCTTCTTTTGATGCAACCATTTCCCCTATGACCCAATGACAATAAACAGAAATCTAAAGATGCAGAAAAAATCAAAAGGCTGGCTCATGAACACAGAAAAGAGAAGCATGTACGTCATCAAACGGTTGAAAGCGATAGATAGAAAAGAACAATTGGATGAGTTCAGCATCGCGGTGTATCGGTCCAATTCAGGAGCCGATGATGTCATGGCCAATGCTTCAGGCTGCAAGGCCTGGAGGACTGTCGCCCAAAGCGGAAATCTGTTCCGTCGATCCGGACCCGTTAGCGAGTCGTTACCCGTTCGGGTCTAGTTTATGACGTCGGCGGCTTTCGCGCGTCATTTTGACTCAAGCCCCGTCGCCCACGATTCGGGACGGTGGAACAGCTTCCCCCTCCCAGAGCCAGGGGATTTGCTGCTCGCTGTTTGGCACGATCGTGGGGAATGGATCAAATCCACTAGCGCTGTAGAGAGCAGATCCACTAGAGCTTCACTCTCTGCCTCTGCGACGTTGCTTGCCGGGCCAATCAATCTCAGGATGCACCACGCGCATATGCCGGGTGAGCGCATCGTTGCGGGAGAAGGTCTTCTCCTCCGTGCACAGATGACACCGAACCTTCTGCTTGCGAGCATTGTGGATCGTGTCCTCGTGGCGGGTCAAATCGTAGGGGCGAGAGAAAATTGAGTTGCACGGCTTGCCTGTGGACGGGTTGATGCGTTCGCACTTGTGAGGGCCAGCCTGAGAGTTCCGGGCCGAGTTGTCACGCCCGATCAGATGTCCACCAGGAGTGGTCTGGCGATGCGCCTCCCGCTTGTGCTTCTGGAGCTTGGCAGGTGTTTCAAACCGTAGGGTGCAACCGTGATAGGTGCAGGTGTAAGTCCCACTGTCAGATGAGGTGTTCTCAGGTCGAGGGATCTCCGCCTTGACAGGCTGGAGGGCCACTCTTGGCTGACCCTGAGGAGATGTCATTTCGGTCGTGGGAAGAATCTCGCTTCCAGTGGACTCAAAGCGGGGCAACGAGGCTGGGAATTCAGGAGTCTGGTGCAGGAGGCTGTTTTGTTGGGATTGTGCCTGACGGGAACTCTGGTGCTGCTGACCGAAAGGATATTGCTGTCCAGCCATGTGAGTGGCATATTGTGCGGGGAAAGCCTCCATAGAAGTGAAGTTCTGGGTAGGTTGGTAGGAAGAAGAGCTTTCACGGCGCAATCCACCCAGCGCATCGCCCAAATTGAAATCGGGCTGAGATGAGGGGGGGAACAGCGGCATTCCAGGGGCATGCAACTCGGAGTCGTCGCCTTCATTGTAATCCAGCAGCGCATCCTTGGGAGACATCGTCTTGGGCTCATTCTGAGATGAGGGGGCGATGCTCACGCCACTCTGTGACCCAGGCACGCTGGTCGCCATCTGCGGGTGTTGCAAGCCAGCGCTGTTATACTCTGCAGCCATGGGGGAGTTCTGCCGGAACGGAGAGCGATCCCGCTGCATGCTCCCCATAGGCGACTGTGACCGTGCAGAGAGGTGACCCTGATTAGCGGCTTGCAGTCTATCAGCAATCACGTTGCGGTATGTCGGAGTAAGCATGTTTTGCTGATTAGTGGACTGCTTAGGAACCTGTGGCGTGGGCATCAAAGTTGGGTTGTACAGCTCATCCTGATAGATATCAGAGATGGTACGGTTGAACTTAGGGATGCCAATGGTCAGGTTGTTTGGATTATGGTGCGTGTAATCTGAAAGTGAATCGAGATGTAAGTAATCATCCATCCACTTGTCCACACCAGGAAACCGGTTCTCACCATTAGTGGTCTTCGAGGACTCATCGAGTTCTTCGAAGCCTGTTTGGGGGGTAACTGGTGAGTTCTGGCTCGCAGTCGACACCGAGTAGTCACTGGACTGGTGCTGGTGGCGAGGCTGATATTGCTGCTGTTGCTGGTGCTGGTGCTTCTGCTGCTGTTCCATAACAGCCCGCCTCATAGCAAACTCTGCGTCAGCTGTGTTGCCATCCTGAAACGACCCTGCAAGAATCGAGTTCTGCACAGGTGTCTGGGATGGGGTTGGAAGTGGCTTCGACTGGCCATTCGGCCTCTGGTAAGAGCCGCCTGCTGGGGCTGATCGACTGGAGGACGGACTGGAGGCAACTTTAATTTGGGAGTCGTTGTTGAACTGGGGCATGCGCGACAGGTTGTTCTGCATACGAGCAGGGTTCAACAATTGCAAGTTGCCATCCCAGCCGTGGTTGTTCGGAGCGGAGTGTTGCGCCAACATTTGAGCGTTGTCGTCGTAGTATGGTTGGAAGAAGTAGGGCTGAGATTGTGGTGAAGCTGAGTGCTGGTAGCTGATCGAGGGGTTATACGAGGAGGAAGGGGTCATCGAAGGAGCCTCGAAGGACTTGCTGTCGAAGACAGCAGAAGAGTAATCCGCGGCCACCGCCGTGGTTGGGTAGTGAGAGGCGATCGAGGCGGGAGAGGAGGTGGGAGAGGATGGGGCGGAAGACGGCGGAGAGACGAACTGCAAGTCCGGGTGATACTGGAAAGGAGTCTGAAGTCGTGGCTGATGATACACGGCCTCTTGTGAGTACTCAGGCAGGAACTGGTCGTCTTGTATGCAAACGGGGTCTTGGTGGTTGTAGAACGGGACAGAAGTTGGTTCAGTGATAAAACCCTTACGTACGGCAGGGTGCATGAACATAATGTTGCTTGTGTTGTGGTTGGACGTCAGAGTAGAGATGACGCCGACTGGAGACGGTGGGTTTGCCACCCGGAGAGGTCGAGAGTTTAATGAAGATAAGTTGGCACAAGGGCCCCCAAAAGTCTCGAAGGGGCCAAGATCGTAGGTGTTGAAAAGACTTGCTGAGCAATTGCAACCAGAAGAATGAGTCAACAAGAGAGTTGGAAGTTTGAGCGGATGGTCCAGAGTCAAAGTAGATGTTAAACAGGTCGAAGCGTCTGGAAACGTCGGGCAGAGGGAGACCGATTCAGGCTGAGAGAAACCGATCGGGAGGCTCAGTTGAGTGGGGAACCGTGGTTGAGATCAAAGTCCTAAGGTTCACAGAATGGACGGTTAGATGAATCTAATCCAATGATGCAAAGATCTGGTCAAGGAAGTATGGGAGGAAGAGAGGTAGGAGGATAGAGGGAGAGAGAATAGTCGACGTAAGTATGCGGGTAAACTTACTCTGTATGAATAGCAGATAAGTATTGAGGGAAGTATGAGATGCTAAGATGATTGATTGAGAGAGTAATAGATCAAAGGTGAAATTCAGAGAAGATATGGGAGGCGACTTGAGGGGATAATAAATATCTGATCGATGTATAAGATGATGGGTGGGTGAATAATACTCATAGCTTAGAGGAGGAGGAGGGGGGGGGTGTGGTGGAGGGTTCATTCCTTATGTATGAGAATGACGTTTAGCCCTGCAGAAGGAGAGGAGACTAAGGTAGAGACTACATACGGCAATCGCCGACAGTCATCCTTCGCACGCTTATCCCGGCCGCCCGCCGATCCTCAGGATTGGGTCTGGTATTAATGTATGGTAATATTACGTTTAATTACCGTCATGCGGCCGAAACGAATGCATCCACTTTTTCCACTTAGTCGGACTCGATCTGCATGGCTGTCCGGGGGACTCACTGGCCAGTCCGGCCTTAGGCAGTTCCCACCCCCAGTCGACCCAAACTTTTCCCATTTTTCTCACGACTCGCGCGTTTCTTGACACTACTAACTTAGTACCTTAGTACCTTAGTCACTGAGTAGTTGCATTCAAGCCACAATTGACTGACAGTCTAAGACCATCTAACTAACCTACGCTGCAATTCGACTCGACTCGACTCAGGAGCTAGACCGGGTGACCGGATCCTCTTCGGGGGAGGGTAGAGTCCAGATCATACCAGAATCCACGCTCTAGTGAATGATTAACATTGAGTCAGGCTGCTAGTGCGATGACTCTCAGCCTGGAAGTGAAAGAAAAAAGACAAAGACAATCATGGAGGATTTTTCCACCCTCCTCTTCGGCTAGCGTAGGGAACAACAATGTGTCTGTTTCAAATTTTTTTCTCTGCTTGCGCCTGATAATAGCAACCGAGGAGGACGCTAGGGCATCCAATCAACGCTCAAGTTGTCATGGCTAAGCCACACGCATTCCTCAGAGACAACAACCAACCCACCGAAAATGCCGTGGTCGATCTGATCTCGTGTATCTCTTTGAGCGGACCCTTACAGATGACATGTTCGACAGATGAAGATTACAGCGCATGTCAATGGGTGAAGATCCATGTTCAATCATCAGCGCCTTGCTTACCTGGTCGCAGCCAGTAGATGCCCAAGGAAAGTCGGTCTCCACTATGATCAGGTAGGTATTGACTCGCAATGGGGAATCCGAGAGAGCCACACCTTAGCTGCGCCACAAATGCTTGTGGCTAGTGTGTATTCTCGGTATTAGTCAAGTTTTTCATTATTAGTAATATCACTAATAGGTGGTCTCTAGTTCTTTCAAGAGTCAACCGGAGTAAACTCGTAACTCCACGGAGACGGATTTGACCGGGGATACGATCTTGGTCATCAGGGCGCTTTTTCCAGTGAGCGCTACTGCATTCTCTTCCTGCTGCTAATGCATCATTTATAATGGCTGATGAGTATTCCACCCTGTTCGGTCTTTCGGTTTGAGTAGTTTTGAGTTCTGCAGGTCGGCGGAGACTCGGACGAAATACAGGCCGCAGCCGGTCAATAATGGCTTACTAACTGATTTGATGTTGCACAATACCACCAAGACCAGAATGTTACCCCGGCCTCGGGTCTTCTCGCCCTGCCTGCGCTAGTAGCCTGATTCTTGCGGCATCTCTGAGCCGAACCTGCACTTTCTCGGCCGGTGCAATGCAAGTCGGGCTATGCAACTAGAACTTCATCTGTCCTATGCGTGATCAGGTCAGCTGATAACTTCTTTGGGGGGGTTTTGTTCTTTTCTCTTTTCGTCCATTGTCTGATAGTATCACCTGTAACTGCTTACCGTGGTTCTATCGAGATGCTAGTCTTACTGAGGTAGTCACAATGAATCAGATCTCCTATGTCGGCCCTTCGGAGATAAGCCACAGTCCCAATGGGTCACCCTCAGTCCCTTTCCAAGTTCTACAGTCTACATATGAGTCATGAATGGGATTCATCGCAAACAGAATCATGTATCGCTACCAGGGACGTCGTACGATTATAAATACAATTCTTTACAACGAGATATAGTCTGGAGATATGATGTTACTGGAGCTCGTCATGCGCGTCGAGGTGTGAGGTGACATGACATGATGTGGCGCATGGGTTAGCTGTTCCTGACTCAAAAACAACTTCAATGGCTTTCTCAATCCGCAACATTCACATGCCTTCTGGGATCAATCGATAAGCAGAAAAGGAAAAACAAGGAAGTGGACACGTCTCGTGTTTTTGGTGGTCTGCATCTCACTATTCAACGTATTTTGGCTGCTCCAGCTCGTGGCAGCCCCATAGACCTCCATGCGAGAGACAAGACATCACTCCACACTGTAGGACATAAGACACAAGCCTTGCTTTGTGATTCGTGCACTGCTGCAAGCCACTACGATTTAAGAGTCAAAGCCGTCCGGGCTCCACTCATACTCGAAGCACGTCCAATGCTGCTGCCGCTGCTGCTGCTGGCTGTCAGAGAGCTAGCTTCCTGCTTGTCCAATGTCAAGATCTCCCATTCCCCCAGGGCACGGAGCCAGCCATTCGACCCACCGCGTGCTGCTTGCTCCGTACCGAGACAGCTGAGCTGCGGTGGCAAACACACACCGTCCCAATGCGAGCACCGGTATATCCTCATAAGAAAGCCACTCATCGAGCAGGGAAACCCGTCTGCCTGGGGGCTCAGCCCTCGATTGCGCATTACATACCCTCCAGTACCGCCGCATAATCCACTCGTAAAAGCCTGCAGGCAGGCTTTCCAGGAAGGGGAAGAATCCCGATCGTATTCGATACTACGAGTATTCTACTAAGTACTAAGGTATCTAGCCCTGGCTGGATAGTGCACAGTGCTGGTCTGGGCAATGGGGGAAAGGGTGATGGGACCCGGCGGGTCTGGAGAACGGGTACCAGTGGTGGGCGGTACACACCACCGGGTCTTGCTCTCTCTTTCTCTCTGGGGAAAAGAGAGCCCGTGAGTAAGTAGTGTAGCTACAGTAGTTTAGTGTAGGTACGGTAGATGGTCCAACTTAGCGGCCGCAAGCCACATAACCCAGCTGAGCCCTTTCCTCCCCTCCCCTCCCCCGAGTTCGGGACTTTGCACGAGAGTCTAAAAGCTGATATCAAAAAAGTATAAATCAGAATGAGCCCACGTTGCCGGACTAATAAACCGAAAAGGCAAAGCAAAAAGTCAAAAATCCCAGAGCACCGGATAAGTTCCCACGCGCATGCGCATTTGTTTTGCGACAGCGACAAGAAAACTCAAACTGCATGGAAGAGAATAAGAAACCCAGAACTACAAAACAGTAACAATACAAACTGGAAATTTCATCAACGAGAGCATGTATGCCCCTGGAGGGACTAGGTTAAGAAAAATTCTTATTGGTGCGGAATTATCATAAGAGTCAGCACCTTATACTCATCGGGTTGGCAAACTCTTCCCTTTCACACCACTCCCTCCCCCCCCCCCTGCCTGCCACATGTTCCTTTGTCCTGTTTCGACATTAGTGCGCGCATTCAGTAGGGCGAACGGACACTACACTAATGCAGAGAAGCAGAGATTTTTTCCTTCCATCATCCCTCCCCCAATTCCTCGCACCCCTGCAGCAATGGGTGTAGAACGACAGACATGATTGGTCATGCGGCCAGACACAGCCACAGCCACCGATGAAATGGCAGCTTATTCGTGGGGCCTCGGTAGGGTAAAGGGGGAGGGATGGTGCCGATCTCCGCGGTAAGGAAAAAGGATTCGCTGCCTTTCTCAAACGGATTGTCCCTAAAAGTGGATTCCAATGACCCATGATGAATAATGCATTACCTGGCCCGGGGTTGCGGCAGCCTGAGGTGTAAGTTTTAGGCCTAACGGACCACCGTACGCCGTACTATCCGTACACGCAACCCTACCCTACCAAGCCTCCGAATCCGAGGAAGGGCTTTTCGGCTCATACAGGCGGTTTTTTTTCCACCCTCCATCCCAAAACAGGACTAGTGGGCAGTCGGCCCCTCCGGCGCGCGCTTAGAGTTTTTCTGGTGTCTTTCTAGAATCCTGCTAAAATTGGGCCACGATGGCTGAATCGGGGTCCGTGCAGCTGAAAAAATAATTTCCTGCTGCAGTGGTGTGGTCTGCCCTTCCCTCCATGAGTGCTGTCGCAGCAATCTCGCCAGTCCATTGGCTGGCTGCTCGGCCCAGACGGGGGAAAACCGTTTTGTATCTTGCATCGCCTATCACAGGTATAGATCAAACGAGCTACTGAGTACTCATACCTCCGAGGAACTTTTCCCTCAGCCAGCTAGCGACATGAGAAGGGAAAGTAAAAAATTTTCTTCGTTAGCTCCAAGGAGATCCTTCAGCTGCCATCGCAGCAGAAAGCAGGATCTAAGCCCCTCTCTGTCTACCTCGATGGTTTTTCCAGCATCGAATCATCATTATGCGATGCTGAGAAACTTTTCGTCGGAAAGTCGCGGTTTCCCATTCCACGTCTCCGATAGCAGGTAGAAGTGTATAG